CGTAGCATAACGATGACATATAGCAATATTTCATTAGTAAAAGAGATTGATATGGTGTTTTTAAATGGCAATATATCAGCATATGAATAATCAGAAGTATGAAATGAGCAATAACTATACTAAAGATCATTGTGGTGCCATCAAATGTGTGATACACATAGATAATCTCATCTGGATCTTAATACAACTCTTACTTTGAGAATATGTGCTTGACTCTATTTTTTGTGATTTTTCCATTTTTATAAGCATATAATCGCTTATATAATCGCATATAATGTAACTGTCTGACATCTACCTGATTTAAATGAATTTAGTTACGTTTAGAGTTTATTATTTATCAAAAGCTCTTTAAATGTTTCTTTTTCTTTTCCCATCCAGGTTTAAGCGCCTCAGGCAGTGAAAACCTCATAAACTGTTTTTCACACTGAGCTCTAAATCTGAGAAACACTGAGACCTTAATTGATGGCTGATCATGATTGGCTGGTACTTGATTAAACTAAGCATCTGACTGGTCTGATTGTGTCTAGAGGTGTGATTGCAGGGCAGTGGACATGAGACAGTCATGAGGTAAAAACTCAATACCAGTACATTTATTAAATTGGTAAAAGAACTAACCAAAGCTCAAACTCTCTTGTTGATTTCCAGTTTCTTAACCCACATGCAGAACCATAAGAGAACAGGTAATCGCCTGTTGTCCACCATTTTGGATCAGTCCATTTGCAACACAGGCTCAGAAAAATCCAAACAAACAGGAGCAAACAATTTCAAAACAAACGAAGCCAAGAGCAGTGTTGCCAACTTAGCGCTTTTGAAGCTATATATAGCGACTTTTCAGATTCCTCTAGCACTTTTATTTCCAAAAATAAAAGTCACAATAAGGAAAACAGAAAAAAAATGTATTTTGTTCAAATGTTAATCCTGAGCTGCTCATCATTCTTTTCATTCAAAGAGGCCTAAACACATTATTATACTGGAGTGGAAAAGTATATATCCTTTTGGAATGGTTTTGTTTATTACCATCTTATGTTAATTAAATCGTTATTGCTCTAACCCCTTGCTCACACTGGCTCCGGTGCGGTTACCGAGCCGACGGAGACCTGCAACTCCCGCACACCCCCTCTCACACCGCCCTTTTGACTACGGTGCGGTGCGGCTCTGCGGCTCCGGCAACAGGTCCGGAGATTTAACTCCCGAGAACAGAAGTTCACTTGAGTTCACGTAACTTCATGCGATAACATGGCCCAAATAAGGATATTTGCGAGAGCTTGTTGCGCAGGGCTCCGGCACGCCGCAAGGATAGCTTTCTTGCGGAATTTTCTGCAGCGCCGGAGTGTCTCGGTAACCGCAGCCGGACAGCTCAGCAGCCGGTGAGAGAGGTTTACGTCTTTTTAATGACTTGGAATCACTGCGGCGCCGCACCCACCGCACCGCAACGGTAAGACCGGAGTCGGTGTGAGCCGGGGGTAAGGTAAATTATTAGTTCCCTACATTTTGTCAATATCTTAACATATATTCTTTCTTTTTAGATCCTCCTAGATTTTCATTTTTCACATCTTTAAAGCACCCTAAACAAAAGATCACTATATACTTAAAAAACATTGACTAAAGTTATATCAAAACCAAGTTGGACCATATTTTTGGGAAAACCGGAACATAAAGAAAAAACTCACCAGAAGGCATGACCACCCTGCTCTTCTCTGAGGAAATTTGATGGCAGATGTCTTCTTGCGTCAAAACACAATGGTAGAAGCCTTCCTCAGTCACAACAGCAAGAAGCGTAATGTCAAAGTAGCTTCCATTCTGAGATATTTTGTTATCTTCAGGTTTAAAAGTAACATCAGCATCATTTTTTAGCTCCATTGTAGGTTGTGGAAAAGCACCAACAGCTGTACACTCCACCTGCCTCCCACCATCTTTGTTCCCAAGAGCTTTGATAATTGGCTGTGGACAAGTACCTGTAGACATGATAAAAAACAATAAATATTACAAGGAAAACTTTAAGCCACATGAAATAGCAGCTCAAATAAAATTAAATGCAAGGTCAAATCAGATAAAATGCCAGGTGTAAAAAATAAACAATTTCACTTCATATTCAGTTTTAGTTCTTCTTTCCCTATATGCCACTAACAAAGAATCTGCAGCTACTGCATCCGTTCTAACAGCAGATAGCAGCTGACGTGGATGCGCCGTTCCCGGTGAGGTTTTGACTAGTAAATGCGGGATTGGTAATTAATAAAACTTTTACTCTAAAATACTTTGTCATGTTCACTGACCAGGTTTTCTCTGTGTAAAGGAGACTTAGTTGAGGGCTGGTGAATCCAGCCCTTCCAAAGGACTCCTACCAGAGGTTTGCTACTTAAAGCCCTGCAAATGTCGAGTAGCGGAGGCCTAAAAGTAATTTTTTTAAAAGAAACAGCTATAAATGTAAACCACTGTCTTTGTCACTGTTATGTAGTAGCTTTGAACTGACTGTTCGAGTTGTGTCACTCTTACAGTGTTGTGCTGTGGCTAACAGGACTCCCAGTTATGATAAGGACTTCTTGAATGACTTTTTGGCCTATTGGCTGAGATTAAGCCTAAATATGATCATTATCTGATTGTGGGAGATTTTACTATTCATTTTTGTTGTCTGGGTCAAGAGTTTTTTTTTTGTTTTTTGTTTTTTATTCTATTGACCGTCTTGATTGGAAACAGTGTGGCTATACCGACACAGAGATGTGGACACACTCTGGATCTTGTTTTGTTTTGTTTTACTGTTTACGGTTTTGATTTAGAACCTTGTGATGTAGTTTGAAAGGATCATAAGCCTGTTGTATTTGAGATTTATCTTTCTTTTAGCAAACAATTGTGTCAATTCTACCGGTATATGTAAATAAAAACAGTAGACTGTCATCTGGTATTGTTCCTTGTGATCCTAAACAGGCAGTAATTCATCCTCTTCAGGAAACATGGGGCTTCCTTCCACTGTATTACAAGTGTATTCTTAAAACACACCTGTTTGCTGAGGCATTTCGTACATCCTTAGAGCTAGACCCTATTTTTATTAAATTTTCTATCTTCTGTTTTATTACTTATTGTGCTTGTCTATTTTAATTTTACTGTTGCCTTGATTTATGTACAGCGCTTTGATGACCTTTGTAATCAAAGTGCTTGTCGGGTATTTTGAAAGTGCTCTATAATTAAAGGGGTATAGTATGGTAACAGATTATACTTAGAATATAGTGATTTCCCTAATGCCCCACCTAACTCAGTAATTGACTTAATTTTGGACATTCCCACAAATCAGAAAGGCCTTATCTCCAAAATATACACATTAATATCCCATCTCAAAGAGACATCTCTTGATAAAATCAAGAAAGACTGGGAACAAGAACTTGGTAGGGTTATTGATGACAGCATCTGGGACTCGGCATTAACTCGTGTAAATAATAGTACATCTTGCTCCAGGCTTAATCTCATACAATTTAAGGTTGTCCATCGTATTTATTTTACCAATTCTAAACTTTCCAAAATGTATCCCGATGTCGCAGACGTATGCAATAGTTGTCACATGTCACCAGCAAACATGACTCACATGTTCTGGTCCTGTCCCCGTCTGCAAGATTACTGTTTTCAAACATCTTGGAGAAGCACTAAATGTGAAATTGACACCTTGTCCTGAATTGGCTATTTTTGGATTAATAGACCATAAAAAAATTAAGAAAAAGTTCAAGGATAGTCTTGCTTTTGCTTCTCTATTAGCGCGGAGAAGAATTTTGTTGGAATGGAAGGCACCAGGGGCCCCAAAAGCTTCACTGTGGCTTAAAGATCTCATGTTGCACATAGACCTGGAGAAAATTAAATATGATCTGAGGGGGGCACCTGGAAAATTTGATTCAGTTTGGGGCTGCATGATTAGCTACATTATTTGAATATATTTTCTTCTTTCATAAATGTGTTCTGTTGTTTTGCATTGAGTGTCTGAGCCATTAGTAAAGTATTTACTATAGCATACTTTCTACAAAGAAAAAGGCATTAACTATGGGGCTCAAGTATAATATGGTGCCTTATCCTGGAAACTTTATTTGACTTTCTATCTTTTGTATTTTTTTTTTCATCAGTATTAATATTTCAGTTATTAAAAACTATATACAGAAAATAGTATTTAGGTTTTACTTTGAGTAAAACTGTATCTTTGTTTAAATAGTTTAGTTTATAATTTTACATATTTTACATAATGATCACAAACAAAGGGCCTAATTACTATCACTTAGTCCTTTATAATACTGGCTGAATATTGAGAATCAGTATAGAAAATATTGCATCAGCATATATGACACATTTCCCCAGTTTATTGAAAACATACTTTTTTTTTTGCATGGATAACTGTACAGACTGCAACCATGAGATTATCTTAGAACCTTTTAAGATGTTTATTTGCTTTAAATTACATTGTTGGATTTTGACTCAACTAAGGGACAGAATTTTTTATACTTTGATGCAAGAAGCTCCTAGAGAGGATTTACACAACCACCACAACCAGCGCTTTTAGCTCTGGCGAAGTTCATCGGGGGTCCGTTTCACGAAGCATGTTTACTGAAAACTCTATTTAATAAAGCTGAAATCAGGGAAACTCTTAGTTTTCCATTTTACAAACAGAGATTACTCAACCTCTTTTTCAGTCACAGTAGTAACATTCTCCCCAGAGCTTATCTGTTCGTTAGCAGGTTTTCTTCAGTAAACTCAGTGTCTCCGCTCTCCTTACAGCCAATCATATTGCTTTACTTCCTGAGTAGGTCAGATTTTTTCACTAGGTCTGTTAGACACATTAGCTTTTAAAAACAAACATTATATGTCCTTTTGACAAGGACTAATTGGCACTTTTTCAAAGAGAATTAAATATTTAGAGCGAGAGGATTCTACAACTCAGTTGATGGGAGATGACTCTTATTTGTCTGGTCTGTTTAATATGTGTGACATGTGGATCATTTAATTTTTTTATTTCTACAGTACATGAAGAACTACTGAAATTATATTTAGATTACACATAAATAGATGAATAAATTCTGTGAGGGGAAAATAATTACTTTAGAGTTAGGATTAGGTTTCACTCGGTGATAACAACGGGCCTACTGGCACAATCTGAAGCCATTCCATGGGACTAATAACTACTATCAACAAACATTTATTGAGACGATAACATCTAAAGTGGCTGGAAACAACCACTTAGTATTTACAGGGTAAAACAAGACAGAATAAAACTAAACCCCATGAGACCTGGACCAGATTCCATCTATTAGAACAATGTATTTAGTCCTCACCTGCTGCCAGGTGATGTTACCTAAATAGATACATTGATCCACTACCATTCAAGAAATAAATCCGTAATGTTAATGTGGTCAAAAGAGACTATGGGAATCCATTTTGATAAAAATTCCTGTTTCCTGTTGTCATGAAGACTCGTCGAATCGTGGCTCCACTGATAATGGCTTTTCATACTTGTTATGCACCTGCTAAACTCTGAGTGGTTCTATTTGGAGTTTATTTATCCAATTCATAGCAGCTGTTATAAAACTTAGAGTTCTCGCCCTTAGTCTAGATCAATTCTGAGTTACAGATTTGAATCTGAGTTTGTTAAGCCTACTTCATGAAACAGAACCTAGCTCTCTGTTCCTTATAATGACTTTGGTGGTGCTTATCAAAGCAAACAACCCATGGGCGTAGGCTTGCATAGGGACCATAGGGACATGTCCCTACCAAAATTTTGGACGGACCTATTTGTCCCTACCAATAATTGGATGTGAACAACATGTTTATAATTTACTATACAGCAGCCTCTTCTTTTCCTCTCGCAGCTTCTCTGCCTGGTAGCTGCAGCTGCCTGCTCGTTCCTGTCCCTTTCACATAGCAGGGCATCAACTGTGCTGCGCGGTTTAACTCTCTGCTAAATAAAACAAGACAGGAACGGTTTTTCTTCACGAAACTTTTTTTGGAACGTCATTGAACAGCGCTGACGACCCGGTGAGTAGCATATTTTATAAAAAGAACCTTTAAGGTTGTTTTAAGGACATTATCGGACATGCACAATGGAAGCCATTCTGAAGCAGCCAGGGGGGGATTCTGCATGAGCCAAATAGCAGAGACAGGACCAATTGTCAAAATTTTGGTGTCGATCATTCGATTTCATCCTGGACACTACAGAAAATGGGCTAAAAGTGTTAAAAACCGGAATTATCCTTTAAGTTCCGCCTTCTCGCTTTCTGATTGCGTGTTTTCTAGTCTGTATGTGCGCGCGCGGGTGATTGGAGCGTGAAAAAAAAAAAGACGCTAAAATAAATTAATATTGGGCTACGAAACTAGTCCAAATTAAAAAACTTATTATCTATGCTAAAACAGGCGAAAGCTTCTGATTGGAGTTCTGTAAAGAAGCAGGAGAGAGTTTTATTGATTTGTGGAACTTGAGAAATGTAAGTTAACAACGTTATGATTTCTTTTATTTTATCTTTTAATCAGATAGCCAAATGCTCCTTAAAGAAGATCTTTTATGAAATGAAACCAGGTGAAACAGAATCTTTTAAACGTTTCCTTTGGTGGAGTTCTGGATGGAGAATATTGACAGACAAAAACTATTTTTTTTACTTCTTAAATGCAAAATGTTTACATATTTTTTACAATCTTGGTATAATTCCTGCTCTAAGTGGGTCGCTCTGTCGGCTAAAGGCACATTTTAGTGGCCCTATATTCCAGTTAACGATTAATCAATTACATAGTTCACGATTATTTAAATAATTTGTGAATATGATTAATTGTTTAAGCCATAGATAAAATACATGATATTAGCTACACAGAGTAACTACAGCCCAGATGTACAGCTTCTAATATTAATACTTTAAATGCTCAGTGTCAGTTCCTCTTATAGTTCCAGTACACATAAATACAGTACATTTATTTGCCGTCCCTTGAATGTATTATTTTG